AATTGGATCCCATCCAATCCCGTCTTCGGTCAGGGGTTTGTTCAAAATGGTTGTAAAAAACCGGGTTAATCCGGTCCTAGTTTAACCGGACCGGATTGTTTCCCATCCCTACCTGGCGTCGATCAACCCCATCACGAAATGTCTAACTGCCTTTTCTGCCCACGGCTTCATCAGATCTTCGAAAGTCTTGGAGTATTGTGAATGACCATTTTTTATTTGTGTTTTTGTCTCCAACCTCATCTTATCGAATTTCTCTAATAATCGTCAATAAGCATGTTGCACAAGAGAAGCTATAGGAAGTGAATGAATACCTTTGAAAACACTACTGATTCTCTTTGCCATGTTGGATGTCATGATAGACCATTGACGCCCACCATTAAGGTTATCATGTGCTAAGCTCCAACGGAGTTCATTTTGGTCCACCTAGTTATCGCATGAAATATTTCTCTCAACGACCATCTTATTAAATTGCCCAACTTGACGATCGAACTTCTCCAAGCATTTTTCTCCGGCTAACATAATAAATGACCATACGAGCTAGATATATTCATGAAAAAATTAAATGAAAATAAATAATACATAAAAATAAATAACCATAACAATGAAGGCTTACCTACTCGAAGCAGTTGATTATACATAATCTTGCTTTTAGTCTTCCATTGCAAGTTGCTTGCATAGTGTCGAATGCACCATCTCCATTGCCAACCTCTTTCGACGTCACTCATGGCTTCTTAGAGTCCCGCATGTCTATCTGAGATGATGCAAACATCATTCGATCGATCAAACCTTGAATGTGTCTTATGAACCATGGCCAACTATCGTTATTCTCGCTCTCCACTATGGCAAATGCAATTGGAGAAATCTTTTTTCGACCATCAAATGAGCTTGCCATGAGTAGAACTCATTTATACTTTCGAGTAAGAAATATTCCACCAACAACCATGACTCCTAGACAATTTTTGAATCCATCTATACAAGGTGCATAAGCCCAGAATTAGAATACTCGCTGAAAGATCAAATGGCCAAGTTGCGATGAAGGAACTCTTACCTAATCCATCATCGATGTTGAAATTTTTTCTCTTTACCACCCACAAGAACGTTTGCAAATAATCGTAGGATACTTTCCAATTTCCATGCAACTTCTCTAATGCTCTTTGTCTCCCATACCAAGCCTTCTTGTAAGTAACTTGCATATTAAACTTATCTTTCAACTCGGCCTGCACAGTTAGAACACTAAGATTTGGTTGGACACGTACCAAATGCTTCACGGACCCAGATATAACGTCGACATCAACATGACGATGATCTGTCGGTTGAGTCGTAGTGCTACAAGAATGCACCAACTCGGCCTTTCTCACAGTCCATTCGCTTCCAACATCTCGACATCCAAACCGCACCATCCAAGCACAATTGTCATCCTTGTGCTTCAAGCATTTGACCTTTCAGATTGAAGGTGTCGACTCCACCACGACATACTGAAAGTTGCGTTCTAGTGGGTGGTATTTAATCACCACCTGTGCAGCTTGTTTTGAGTGAAATATTATCTGCCCCTTGAAGAATTCTCCTTCAAAACCAGCAACAATAGGCATTGGAATTACGCCATATGAATAAACATATGATAATTCGTCGTCCTCTTTATTACACTGCAAGTAAAAATCTGGAGGATAATTAGGCTCTGCTTCCCCTTCTTCTTCCTTCTCCTCCCCATCTTCCTCCTCTCCGTCATCATAGTCATGATCAGATGGCACACTCCATGTCTCATCTTCACCCTGATCCTGACTAATCTCAGCATGTATCTCAGCACCCAAACAATAAGGGATTTGTGTCATAAAAACGAAAAGCACATTCAAGCTATCATCATCCACAATAGGCATCACATAATGAAATAGAACATCATCATGCCATTATGGAAGTTTATAAGCGAATCTGCCTGAATCTAAGGCGAACTCGTTGTTTTTATCTCTTAAAACACAATATCCCTATCAATACTATTAAATCAGCTATATTTGTGGTAAATTAAAAAAAAACCCTATATTTTGGGAATTAGCCCCGATCTAGGGAAGTCTAGACTTTATTCATAGTATTGTGTTTTCTGAAATCTTCTTTATATTTCCAAATTATTAATTTCCAACATAAACATTGAATAATTTGGAAGACGTTAAGTCAAGAAAGTTCAGTGTTTGGTGGTGCAGCGTGGGAACAAAATGATAGAGAAGATGGAATGAATAACTAATTAATCCATGTGTAAGAAAGCGTCGGCAGATCAGGGATGGCCACGCACATCTGATCGTCGACGCACGCTGAAGATTGTGGTCATGGAAGCGCGCAGCTAGCGGAACAACCGAATCAGCACTGTTCATCAACTGTGCGCTGAGCTGAAATATCATCTCATTACTTACTGTTCCTCCCCTGTCGAACAAGATAAAATTGTTTATTAATGCATGCATGGGGCACCTTTTTTTTTCCCCCCTTCTTTTTTTCTTTTCCTTTTCTCCCTCGTTTTTTCACTTTCCTTTTTTCAGCATATACTTGGGTTGGTAGGCAATATCCGGTTTCCAATTTCTGCATGCGGGAGCCAGATTGATCACCAACAGTAGCTGATGATGATCAGCTTAGAGATGTCGACTGAGCGAGAGCGAGTAAATGTGCGAAAAGTTGGCCAAGAAATTTAAGCGGGACCCAGTGAATCCTCTCTTTGTCAGCTGTCTGTATATATATTAATATCAGAAAGAAACACCGACTTTGTACAAGGTAGCAAGGTGGGTTATTACATCACCATAATATTTATTAAGGGATAAAACTGGCCTTTGGACATGCTGGAAAAAAGAAAGAAAGAAAGCAGAGAGGAAGCAAGGAAGAAGACTCCGATGGTATTTAAGCTTAATTTGTAGATAAGAACACTTACGTTTCAATGTCTCATCATCTCCCTCCTGGCGGCCTCCATCTATTCTACACTGCCTTATCCGCTTACCGCACCCTTTCTTTGATTGCTTTCGCCAATTCTTCCACCAGCGCGCCTACGTGAATTCCCACTACCCAACTTTTGAATTTTCGCGCCCTCTCTCTCTCTCTTAACACTTGACAGTCATACATATGTAAGCTTTATCACCCGATGCATTGACTGTGTTACGTACATCGTTTTATATCTAACTTTTTTTCCCAATGAATCAGCTTTGAATCATCCGCTAAAACAGAGACCATTTGTACTCATCTCTTCCCCAATGCCAGCTGCGAGCCATTTACTTTGAGCTTCAAGTTGCTTATGTTGTCTGCCTGATCACATGTCTTGTCCACAATTAGTAATGGCGGATTTCTGATCCAAACGGGCCAATCTGATTTGTGCCGATTTGTTGAGTGCAAGATACCGGATCCGTAGTAGCATGAGACAGTGAGACGGGACATATGTATGGCTTATGAGTTATGACATGTTTTGATTTGTACCACTCCATTCATATGATCCGTTCTATTATGATTTACATCAATATCTACTTGTATTTCTCTTTCTTTTGAATTTTCTAAAATCTTATTTTTCTTGCCAAAGAAAATCTAAAATTTCAACTTTCAACTATATTTACACTCAATTATTCATTCTACTATATCTATAATTCATTTATAAAGTGTTTTTTTCTCTCTTTTTTCTTCTTCTTGTAGAACAATTAAATATTGAATTTTTTTTCTTCAAACAACATATAAGAATGAGTTGACTTTTTCCCGTCCATACTCACGCGTATTAACTATATATTAACCGATCTGACAGACAGTTGATGCAACGTGAGTATGGTATTGAGATATCCATCACGTCTCATTCTTGTGACATCACTAAATGCAAATCAAGTACGTCCCAATAATTCGAATATGGGTCTTTAATTATCTCATTTTTTCCCGGGTGCTCCACAATCGAAAGTAACCCATGCATCAATTTGAAACTTACATAAACTCGTCATACTTAAATAAGTCATCATACACATGGAATTAGGGCTGGCTATTTGGACCGGGACCGGATGAAAAACCGGAAACCGGACCGTATAACCCGGACCGAGACCGGACCGGGACCGGATAGTAAACAATCCAATCCAATCTTTGGGCTTAGATTTGATGTAAAACCGGATAAAGACCGGATAAAGAGCTCAACACCCAAAACTTAAGGGTATTTGCATAAACGGTCACAAACCTTTGCACTTAGTGCAAAACTTAACCAACTCCTCACCCTTTTAGGATTAGGCACTCAATTCCCACAATCTCAATATAAAATCAAGACAAACCGATTGGGACCGGACCGGGTCAAGACCGGACCGGATCAAGACCGGACTGTATCCAATCCAATCTTCGGTCCTTATATTTTCAAAAAAACCGGACTGGACCGGATCAATTTGGGCCAATTTAACCGGACCGGACCGTATAGCCACCCCTACATGGAATGTTATGAGGACCTTTCACGATGCTTTCCAAGTTAGATGCTCCTGGATCTAAACACATAAATTCTTTCTTTAGAGAAATGGTACGGTATAACTATAATGACAGGTTTCTTTCACTATTTCTGACAATGATTACTTTAAATTGGAGAAAGATGTAGGTACGTAAAACACTAATTAAGAAGAAGTACTCTAAACGAAGAAATTAAAAACCCTGATTCCAAAATTTAGGATCTTCCCATTTATATTGCTTGTTTGCTAAAATCAGGTATTAACCAAACTGCCGGGTATACCTAAGATATTCACTCTTTCATTCACATGCCTTTGCTTGTCAATGAAGAAAGTGGCTGAGGGCATTTCAGTCAAAATACACGCAAGACCTCCATACAGACAGCCCAGCCGAACAGGAAAAAGACAAAACCAAAAGTAAGGCGTCCTTCGATGAAATTAATAAAATAAAGAAAAGGGGAAAACGAAGAAGAAAAAGAAAAAAAAAAAGAAAAAAAAAGGCAAAGCCATGATCACCCCCGACAATGGATCATTTAAAATGCAGGCATGAGGCAACCCAATAACTCTCCCCTCCCGCCCATCTTCCTCCCAAGAAGCTCTCCACTCTAAAACAATAAACCCTAACAAGCAAAGCAAAGAATTCCCAATCCTCCTCCTATACCCTCTCTACCTACAATCCCTATACACCTATATCTACACATTTCCATCACCTTCTCCCAAACTCCCCCTCCTCTCCCTTCCTTCCCTCCACCCTAGTCAATCAAACCATGGCTATGGTGACAACCTCTTTTCACAAATTCTCGGTTACCCATATGATCCTCTCCCTCGTCCTGCTGTTCTCATCAGGTACATTCACAAGACTTTCTATCGATCGTCCGTCACATCTTTCTATTTTTTTTTTTAAATAACGATAACCAACTTTACGTTCTCACAGACTATGGATCATCGTTGGGGATCAACTACGGCCAGGTAGCCAACAACCTGCCCCAGCCCGACGAGGTCCTCGACCTCCTGACCTCCCTCAGGCTCACCAAGGCCCGAATCTACGACACCAACCCTCAGGTCCTGACCGCATTCGCCAACTCACAAGTCGAGCTCATCGTCACGGTCGAGAACCAGATGCTCTCCACCCTGACCGACCCGCAACAGGCCCTCCAGTGGGTCACCACCCACATCAAGCCCTACTTCCCCGCCACCCGCATCACGGGCATCGCCGTCGGCAACGAGATATTCACCGACGACGACGACACCCTCCTCAGCTACCTCGTCCCGGCCATGGTCAGCATCCACACCGCCCTAACACAGCTTGGAATGGACCGTTACATCTCCGTCTCGACCCCACACTCCTTAGCCGTACTCGACCAGTCCTACCCTCCTTCCGCCGGCAGCTTCAAAGCCGAGGTCTCCACCGTCATGTCACAGTTCCTCCAGTTCCTCGCCGCCACCAAGGCTCCATTTTGGATCAATGCCTACCCTTACTTTGCCTACAAGGACAGCCCCTCGAAAATCCCGCTGGACTACGTCCTTTTCAACCCGAACCAAGGGATGGTCGACCCGTACACCAAGCTCCACTACGACAACATGTTGTACGCGCAGGTTGACGCCGTCATCTTCGCCATTGCCAAGATGGGTTACGGCGGGATCGAGGTGAGGGTCTCGGAGACCGGGTGGCCGTCAAGGGGTGACGGCGACGAGGTGGGGGCCAACGTGGAGAATGCGGCGGCGTATAACAAGAATTTGCTGAGGAGACAGCTGGCGAACCAAGGGACGCCGCTGAGGCCCGGGATGAGGGTCGAGGTTTATCTTTTTGCGCTGTTCAACGAGGACATGAAGCCTGGGCCCACCTCGGAGCGGAATTATGGGCTTTACCAGCCCGATTGTACCATGGTTTACAATGTCGGGCTTTCCGGGAGGTCCAGTACTAACGCCGCCACGGCGTCGTCCACTTCGTCGTCCACTACTACTTCTTCTACGCCGTCGTCGTCGGCGGGGTCGTCTTCTTCCGCTTCCTTTTCTCTTTCGTCCTCCGCCACTCAGGTAACTAATTAATTAATTCTATGATAATTTTTTTTATTATATCCTTGACCTTAGCTAACAAATACAAAAATGTTGGGGTGGCGCGGAATAAAGAGATTCTGCTTTGGTGGGACCATGGCCACCTATCTATATGTACATTATTTTTGTTTCATACACGATGTAAAAGTTAAAGTCATGTATGTGTGACTCAACAGTGTGAAACAAGGAATTTGTACATTTTATTTTATAGTCCTACTGCAACTACAATGTGGGGTGGAGATTGATGAAGGCAAATTTATTTATTTAGTGTAACTATTTCTTTTCGGGAAAAAAAATCTATCATACATGCATGGAGGATTAGATGATAATCTAGTTAATAATTAAAGGCTAACCTTTTGCCCTTTTTTTCCCTGGCGTTTGATTTTTAATTGTTTATATTATAATGCTAATGGTGAAATAATGGAATACAGGCAGCAGCTACAAGTGGATATCAGCAGAGCTTGGTGTACTGGATGTTTGTTTATTTGCTCTTCTCCCAACTGATCCGAAGACCATAAATATATATATATATATATATACATTACTTACTAGAGGCAATAATATTGGAGCTCCCATCGTCACCATGGCCATGCATTGTAGATATCCATTTTACCTCCAGTTGAAGATCGATGGAGACATACCATGCAATAGCATTACCACCCATTCTTCTTTTGGGACGGCTGACAAGTTGCATGCATGACGTACGAGGATTTCTACCAATACGACGTAGGAGCTAGCTAGGGTGCTACCATCATTGACGACAGACATTGATACACAACTTCACCACCGCATGCAAGACAATGACATAACCAACCATATATATATATTCAGTTATATCTGCGGCCTCGGGCTGGCTGATGGTCATCTCACGATCGAGGAGGAAGCTCATATTATGATTTCCTTTTTGTTGAAGAGGGAGTACAAAAGATTACGCGATCGAGCGAGCGAGGCTATATATATATATATAGATATATTATTAGATGATTATTGATTATACTATTGCTCTCATGTACGTATATATATGTAATTCATCATGTCATTAATGTATGGAAGATTGATCGATTTGTTGTTTATGATTAATATAATGGAAGCCTCATATTTATGATCTGTTATATTGTTGTAATTAATGCTTAAGCTAGCTAGCCAGCCAGCTAGGTTTGTAATATATATTATGTGTGTATAAATTAAGAGAAACGGAGAGGAGGGAAGGAGGCAGTTTATGTTGGAGACAAAGATTGTGCCTATGGATTGTCAATTTTCTTTCTCACGTAAAATAGGAAAATGGAGCCCTCAAAGAAAGAAAGGTATTTGTGTCCTACTTTTAGACGTGGAATCCACAACTGTGGTACTTAGAATATTTCGCAAAGATTTCTCGTGTGCGTGTTGTGTAAACTTTTCCTTTCCCCGCTTTTTCGTCCTTCTCGGCGACCCTCGAATATATATATATGTTATAGCCTTGCTATATTTATATGAAATGAATTTCATAATGAACAAAAAAAAAACAAAGTTAATTAAAATGTAAAAACAGTCCAAGATAATGCTGCAAAAGCGCGATTAATTAAACAAATGCACCAAAAGTGTAAAAGGGAAAGGCCTTGTTTGGGTCCTTTTTCTTATGATCATTAATACTGTTTTAGTTTCTTCCTACCTTTAATTTAATTTTTTACCGTATTAATAATTTTGGAAATCAGCAGAAAAACGGGCGGCCCTAGCTGAGTGAGCTTTATTCCCTTCCTTGGGCCTATGTAACCGTCAGCACTGGTGCATTTGGGCAAGATCCCTTTCTGCAAAGGAGCTTTTTAGGGTTTCTCTCTTTTGGAGTAGAGAGGGCTGGTCAGGTCAGCCTTAGTTGGAGATGATCTAGCTAGCTAATTGGGTGGTCTCTCTTCAACACAATTCGATCGATGGCATCAGCGCAACGTGGGTGCACATGCGACCCAACCAAATGATTCCCATGGAGGAAGTTTTGTTTAAGGTATATATATATGGAATGAACCAACCCAACGAGGATCCGGCAGCTGAGATGACATTACACTATGATTGAATTGTGTTTTGTTGCCGAGGAAAATTATTGGAGGGCGCATGAATGTAGCAGAAGAAGATCAAACTAAAGAGGATTTGGTTGGAGCATTTTGGAAGGAGAAAGGATTGAGGGGTTTGATTAAGTTGGTTGGGTGGTTTCGGTGCCTTTCGGCTCAGTGACACATGTTACTAGTGGGATTCCATCATGGGTTTGGCCCCATTACCACGTAGACTTGCCATGTGCATGCTCTCTCCTTCTCCCCCTATACAAGTTCTTTAGGTGGAATTCTTCACATAATTGCAATGGTTGGGGAATGATGGGATGTGAAGGGAAGTTTGGTACCGGTATTTAGGATGTATCCAATATCATACGGAATTTATTACTATTTGATATTACTGAATATTGAGTTAGTTTTAGGGATTAAGATTGTTATTCGAAATTATGAGATTGAGATGGGTATATACCGAAAAGGTCGAGAAATACAAAATATTTACAATTAATTAAATGTAGCCCATTCTGATCATTAGTCGCACTTTGAAAACTTGCAAACCTCCATTCAATCCAAGGCTAGCTTTCAAGTATTCCTATATCACTATCGTCTCTGACTCAATCTCTTGTTACTTTCAAAACACCACAAAATTGACAATCCCATTTGCCTTTTCTTAACCTCCACTTCATCGATTCAAAGATTTTCAATGTTAAGAAACTGAGATATCACTATCTCAATCTTTCTCTTTGTCCCTGCTATAGCTTTAGGCAATCTCAAACCTTTTGCTTAGTCTCGTAACCCTAAATGGGCACATGTGATGAATCCACTCAATACACTTTGATTGAGGACATTCAATGGAGACTTTGATTAGTTTTTGCTTAGTCTCGCCAAGGTTTAAACCTGTTAGGATATGACTTGAATTTGTTTTGGGTTTGTTTTGTGTTTTGAGCTTATTTTGTTTGAGTTTGTGCTTGGGTTTTGTTTTGACCTTTTCCTTGTATGTTTGGGAATAGGTGTTTAGTTTTCTGTTTGTGATTAGGAGAAGAGTTCTATAAATACTCTTCATCACCCTAGTCTGTAGTAAGGTCAGTCAGGTTAGTTTGTTTAATTTGTCCGTTCAGAATTTGGGTTTGTAACATGCACTCTCCTCAAATTAGTGAAATTTGTTCTCCTCTGCCCGTGGATTAGCTAGCGCACATTGTTAGTGAACCACATTAAATTTGTGTTCGTATGTGTTGATCTGGATTATCGTTTGCACGCTTCTGTTCTGACAAAACCTACTAGCCTATACCATATATTTTTTCCAAGATTATAGGTGTTTAAACCTTTATTTAATTATGTATATATGTAATTAATTTGATATTTGGGAATACAGATACCATATCAAAATATTTTAGAATTAAGATTGAGATACTAAATTTATTTTGGGATCGAGATTGTGACTAATTTCATAACACTATTCGATATTTGAAATTTTGATATTTAGTACCGGAAATAATACCGTACCTATTTCCATTCCTAATGACAAAGAATGGTATTGAAATCAGGAATGGATACTTAGAGCTCGTTTGCATGAGTCAAATATCTGTATTTATCAAATAACTACATTTCATATACACCAACCAAAAGCCCCATTAATGTTTGTTATCGTATTTTAATTTGTCGAGGTTTATCTGTATTATACTTGCGTATGTCTTAAACAGTAAGTTAAATAAAATTGTATTTAAATGTGAGAGGTTTGGGTAATCATGTTGTCAGATAATTTCCGACACTAAGTGAGAATGAGATTGAGTATGTATTTCAATGGTTTCATAGATTCAACAAAAAGTAATGTCTTTTTGTTTTCTTTTGTATTATTTAAAGATTTTAAATCTATATAGTTTAGATATTTATATCTATCATATATTTAAAGAATATATATTTAATTTTCTGAAATTACTTTTCATTAAATATTAACAACCACAATTACCAAATAAATAAAAAATTCAGCTCCCTTATTTTCTCATTTCCATTTTGTTATCACTTATCATACCAATAACATATGTTTGCAATAAATAGAGTTCATTTTCAGGCGAGTTAGAGCATCTCTCAATTGCATCTCTCAATTGCATATCCTACATGGCATTCAATATGCAATTACAAAGGGGATTGTATTGATGTAGTGCCCACTTGCAAAGATGCAAGCTTTCATTAAATGAAATTCAATATGAAATCCACATAGGGTTCAGATCAGGGCATTTTCAGATCCCACTCCCGAGCATTTTGAAGCTGTTACACTGGAAAAAGACCAATATGATCATGTTTCAAAGGCATATGAAAGTTTTGGATGGCAAAAATCTAGAGTCTCTTAGTTATCAGTTGGGGATCAGAGTTCTCATTTCTTCCATCAGGCAGTCAAGATTCACAACTCTAAGAGAGCTATTAGGAAGCTGGTTAAAGAATCTGGAGAGGAGCTGTTTCAGTCTGATCAGATTGTTGAAGAAGTAATCTGTTTCTATAAAAAGCTGTTGGGGGAGGCAAAACTGGAAATAAATCCTGGAAGGGATGAGATAGCTCATCTGGTTCAGCATCAAATTCCAGGCCTGAGTGTGAGGATCTTACTAAAGAGATCACAGTAGAAGAGGTGAGACAAGTGGTCTTTAGCCTAAATGCACAGAAGGCTCCAGGTCCAGATGGCTTCTCTGCAGGCTTCTACAAGAGAGCATGGCCAATATTAGAGAGGATGTGACTAGAGGGGTCCTTTATTTCTTCCAAACAGGTAACCTTCCTAGTGGAATCAATGCTACTGTTGTTTCCTTAGTCCAAGGTTCAGAATGCTGACACCCTGAAAAACTTTAGACCCATCTCATGTGTTAATCTGTTATATAAAATAATAGCTAAGATTCTTGCTAGAAGGATTAGTGAGGTAATGCCTCTAATCATTAGTGCTAATCAGTCAGCGTTTGTTAAGGGGAGAAGCATTATGGATAATATACTTATGGCTCAGGAGTTGGTTAGTGGATACAATAGAAGTGCATTATCATCTAGATGTGAAATAAAAATTGACATCATGAAAGCATTTGATTTTGTTAGTTGGAGCTATCTGTTTCACATGATGATTGCCATGGGTTTCCCAACTCAATTTATGAAATGGATAAGGAATTGTTTGCAAACTGCTCATTATAGTATAAGCATAAATGGAGGACTCTGTGGATTCTTTAGGCTAGGAAGGGGGTTCGTCAAGGTGATCCACTATCACCATACTTGTTTACTATTGCCATGGAAGGCCTCTCTTCCATGCTCATAGCTGCCAGTCAAAGGGAGGATCCCTTACCATCCTCAGTGTAGGAGAGTTGGTTTAAATCATATGTTTTTGCTGATGATGTGCTTGTTTTCACCACTGGCTCATCCCAAGCTATTCTCCAAGTAAAAGAGGTATTACAACAGTTCTACAAACTGTCAGGGCTTAATTGTAATCCTGCTAAGTGTGAAGTCTATTTTGGGGGTGAATTTGTCAAATATAAAGGTAATGCCCTTGCCTTATCTGGCTTCAAGGAAGGGTTGCCGCCTGTCAGGTATTTAGGACTTCCATTGATGACAGGCAAATTGTCATCAAAGGAGGTGGATATTCTGGTGGAAAAGATCACCAAAAGAATTAAATCATGGAGGGCAAGAAAACTGACCTATGCTGGTAGGCTGCAGCTTGTGACTTCTGTTTTGATGGGGGTTATTCAGTATTGGATGCAATTATTTGTGCTTCCTAAAGCAGCTCTGAAGAGGGTCCAACAGGTTTGCTCTCAGTTCCTTTGGCACGGGGCTGAAACTGGGAAAGCCAAAGTAGCCTGGGAATCAGTGGCTTTACCAAGGAAGGAGGGTGGGTTAGGAGTTAAAGACCTATTGGCATGGAATCAAGCATGTGCTATTAGGATGCTGTGGTTGTTTTTAATGAAGGCAGGCACTTTATGGGTTGCATGGATGTTGGAATATAAGTGTAAACAGGGGGATTTGTGGAGTCTGAAAGTGCAGTATAGTAGTTCTTGGACTTGGAGAAGGCTACTGAAGCTTAGAGACACTATCTTGCCTTGGATCACTCAACAAGGGGCTGTTGTTTACTGGGACTCTCAGGAATGCATGTCTATTCTGTTCGAAGGGTTTGGGAGTCACTTAGAAGAAAGTCGTTATTGTCCCGTGGTATAAACTTGTCTGGGGAGCTTATTGCCCTCCGCGATATAGTATGCTTGCTTGGCTGATTATGAGGAATGCTATTATAACCAGAGATAAGCTACTGAAGTGGGGTAAAATTTCTAGTACATCTTGCCCTTTGTGTGAGGATGGAGTTGAGAGTCGCGACCATTTATTTCTCAGCTGTAACTTCACTCGAAAGCTTGCTGCACTGCTGCATTTAAGGTATCTGCAATATCAGAATTGGGATGCAATGGTACAGGATTTGAGTACAAGGATACACAGAGATGCACAAACTGGAAACTGGCATGCTTTGATATGGTGTCTGATTGTTGCTTTCATTTGGAAGGAGAGATGCAGAGTGATACATGGATCGCCCAGGCAAAATCCAGAGAAGGTTGATGTACAGCTTCGAGATGATTTACAGTTTCTAGCTTGTGGGAATAGGGGATTGAGAGATGCGCTTACTAAACTTCACTACTTATAGGTTTTTGTTTTGTAGGTCTCTGTAAGTAGGGTGATATATAGCAGATAGTAGTGAGACATTCGCTGGGGATTGCATCCCCACTTCGTTGTATTGGTCTTTCTAGGGAATAAAGCAACCGATTCAACGAAGGAAAAAAAACCATAATTTATTTTCTCTCTCTCTCTCTTGATTTATTTATTTTTATTTATTATAAAGTCACTTAAACCTCATATGCAATTGCAAGTAAATTGCATTGATGTAGGTGCAATGAAATGAAGTTGAGTTGGATTGCATAGAATTTAAGATAACAATTAAAAATAAATATGCAATTGATTTTGAAATTTTATTGATGTGATGCTCTTATGAGAACATTTTACTTCGCATCATAGCTAGGGATGGCAATGGGTCGGGTTGGGGCGGGTTTTGTCAAACCCAAATCCAAACCCATGGGCAGGGGCGGAGCTACATTGGCCCTAAGGGGGGCCCCGGCCCCCCCGAGAATCTCGAACTTACGTGTAAACGGTTTAGGATAATACGTATAAACAAGAAAGTATTTAATAAAAAGACAAAGCGTGCAAATTATAACATGAAATTTGAGTTAGCCTAGTGGAATTGGCAATTTAGAAGGACCAAATGGTCACGGGTTCAATTCTTGAGGTGAGCATATATTTTATTTTTTTTCCTTTTTGGTAAGCAGTAGCCCTCTCCTTTCTTTTTTGGAAGCTAGTTATTAGCTAATTGGACTATTGTCATTATATTTTTTTATGATTTGTAGTGAACTCAATGTGAAAAAGTTTTGAGTTTTAATTATAATAATATGTTTTTAAAATAATTTTTATTACTAGTTTTTCCTCTTTTGCTGTAACGTATTAAGAAAATTCCGGCCCCCCCGATGATTAAATCCTGGCTCCGCCCCTGCCCATGGGTTTATCCGCAAAAAAAAAATCGGGGTAAAACCCGTTGGGTTTGAAGAACTCAAACCCAACCCAACCCGCTGGGTATCCGCGGGTTCATGGGTACCCGTGGGTTTTTGTGGTAAAAAATTTACAATAACAAGTTTCTTTCAAAATAAAAGTTTAACATCAATTTTCTCATACAAATTAATCATATAAAAAACACCAATCTAGAGCATACAAGCAAACCGCAAATGATCAATACAAATTGTTCAAAATTAAAGATAAACATCTATAAACAAAAGATTAATTGAAAGCTTCTTCCTCGTCAACTAAGTTTCATCACTCTCCACTTCATAATATCAACTTCATTATAAACAATTAGAAAGAACAAATTATACATGTCTCCACAAACATAAAGAATATTAATTGTTTAAGGAAGATATATTATTTAGAATATTAAATATACCGAGAAAGTAATTATATGTGTGTGGGCGGGTACCCGTTGGTCGGGTTTACCTAAACCCATACCCAACCCGACCCGGTGAATATTGTAGCAGGTTTAAACTCGAACCCTGCCCAAAACCCGTCAGCACAGGTTTTACCCGCGTTTACCGGGTTGGGTCGGGTGGGTACCCGTGGATTTGGGTTTTGTTGCCATCTCTATCTCTAATCATAGCCAGAGCCGACTCAAGTGGCTAATGAGTTAAAGTCCAAATACGAATAACATCACAAAAAGCCCACAGGATATAAACTGAAATCTCTATATTGTCTCAAGTGGGCTAATAAGTTAAAGCCCAAACGAATACCATCATAAAAAGCCACAGGATATAAACTGTAATAGTGTAATCTCTATATCGCAAAAACGACGCGCTTGACTAGAAAAAGCTTCTTCCTAACGGCAGGACCTTTCTCCGCCGCTCTAGAACCTTCATCGGCCAAAACCCTATATTTCTTAAATCGAAAGTTGAAATCTACCCCTCCATTTTCCCCATGTTGTGGTGGTTCTCGTAGTTTCATCGAATTTCCACCCTCACTCAGGCAAGCAGTGCGTAACTGCCCGGAACTCGTCTAACATCGTCGGACCATTGCATTTCCCCCTGCGCTAAGATGGCGAACGATTTGGCTCTTGATTTGGAGGAGCTTAGGCAGCTGCAGGCCATAGCCAAGCGGCCTCGCGTCCTTTCCCTCATCTCTTCTGAGATTCGCAACATGGAGCAGGTTTTGTGCCTTCCTTTCCGTTCATTCCCTATTCGCAGAATTCTCCTCTGTCAGTCGATGAACGTTTAAACTTCTGTTACTGGATTTACGTCTTTTTGGTACGAATCGCTTAGTTGTCTGTCAACTGTTTGATTAAATGCCTCTTAAGGATTTTTATTAGTGTCGGTTGTCGCTTTGTTTTCACTTATGCATTCAAAGCCTAGCCTACGCCAAGGAGATTCTGTAAAGATGATTTCTTTAGTTGTGACTTCTGGTTTCCCGTTTTAATTTTGGCGCGTAGATGTCGAAGGGCCCTGCTTCTGTCCCTACACCAGCTCCCATTGCTACTGGAGTCAAGCCCTCTGCTTCTCCTGCATTGACGTATTCTACTCTTGGATCGTTCAGCTGGGATCAGGACGCTGAGAAAGTGAAGGTAGTTAATAGGGGTTGCTCCCCCATTGAACTGTCGCTTGAAGTCTCAAACCATTTAACGTGTTGGTAGCTGTTTGAGTCTCCCTTTTGTTTCCCTGCTGCAGATTTATGTGTCACTAGAGGGTGTCGAGCAAGAGAAAGTTGAGGCAGAGTTCAAGGAGATGTCCTGCGATGTCAAGTTCCATGATGTTCAGGGTAAGAACTACAGGTGCGCCATCCCGAAACTGAACAAGGAAATAGTGCCGGATAAATGTAAGGTGGTGGTTAAGCCTACGAGGGTGATCATCACTTTGTTCAAGGCTTCAAAGGGTAATTGGTTGGACTTGCAGTTCAAGGAAGACAAGGTATCAGAACTGAATGTGTCAAGGTCACTCTTGTTTGGACCAGGAAGGTTTGGGGTTTTGGCTTACTAATTAGATTTCTTCATCTTGCACAGCTCAAGCCTAATCTGGAGAAGGAGCGGGATCCAATGGCTGGGATTATGGGCTTGATGAAGGTATGTGAACAAAAACTTCCTTCTCTGGGTCTTGGTAAAGGATTTCTTGAATCCATGGACTACTAGCTCATACACATGGAGTTATTTAGGCCATGAAAACTAGTGTTGATTGTTCCTTGTGATTTGTGAACCTTGCCACTGCAAATTTTCTGCAGAATATGTATGAGGAAGGGGACGAAGACCTGAAGCGAACTATTGCCAAAGCATGGACTGATGCAAGATCTGGCAAAGCGACTATATGAGGAAGGCTTTTTGTAATCCCATTTTGGCTTGGACGACATTGTCTTGGGAAGTTGGGTTCTAGGTTCTTTTGGTTATATATCAGCTACTGCATGGTTGTAAGGATGTCATTGTTGGTCTAAAAATGGGAATGCATCAATATGTGTTTGCACTCTGTTGATCATTTCTGGAATGTAAATTGCCTTTCGGCCGGTCTCTGTTCTCAATTCTAATGTCGTGACACGGTTCATCTTTTATCTCCAATCTAATCCATTTTCTGCTTTCGTTCAATTTCTGGTTTACACACTGGCCAGGTCTGTAATCTTGAAATGATCAAGTCTTTCTTTGTTGTAGCCACACAACTCGTGGAAAAGCTTTGGCCAAGATTGGTAACACAAATACACAATCCATGCACCTTGTTGTCTCCGTATTTCCCTTATGACTGGTCATTTCCTAACTTTCATTTACAGTAGTTCTCTTCACCATGAATATCTTTAAGTTACTTATCTCCACGTCCATTTACATAGCAGAATCACATTCTTTGCTTCTATGTCCACTACCCCAAGCCACCACACTCCACAGTTCTTTGGTGTCTTGCACTTATCTCATCCCACTAGATGAAGGTTTTGTTTCTCATGAGTTCCTGACCAGATAATGGTGCTTAAGGTACATTTTAGACTACCTCTATACTTGCCCCTTACCGTAACTGGTTGGCCGGTGGAACCACACACAATAGTTTCATGTTACAGTTTTTATCAAGGTTGTCAACCCGCGGGTGGACCCGCCCGTCGACTCACTTTGACTCTGGCCCGGCGAGAAAAATAGGCCGCACCCACCCGTCGGGTCGACCGCTACAAAGTACCGGGTTGGATGTCAAATTGTGTCATTTTTTCTTTGGTTTGCGAAATGCGCCTATTTTTCAGTTTTCTTTTCGCCTAACTCAATCTTTAGAATCCTAAGTTAAACATTTGAATATTGATGTTATATAAGTGTGTGAATTTTCACTATATGTTGGATCTAAGTACGACATGTTATTTTGGTGTAATATTATATGTTATAACGCATATGTTAGATGAGATTTGATATTATCTCTTTAAAAGAACAAGTTACAACTTTACTGTTTGGTAGAGTCACGTCTTAACACTGTTTTTCTTTGCCACATTTTTACTGCGTTCTCGTCTGTAATCATTGCTTACCTCTCTCTTTCCTCTCTGCTTTTAGCCTGGGTTGCTTCGCCAGCGACTTCTCTTCTCTCTGCAACTTATCGGTTTTCGGAACTCCTCACCTTTCCCCTGGAAATGACAGGTCTGGCGCTTCCTCATCTGTTCCTTTCCCCACAAAAGTCTTGCTTTGCTTTGCTACCTTTCATTTGTGCTTCTTACAGACTTTTCCTCTTCTAGCTTGCTTGCTCGCTTGCTTTCTTCTATTGCTCTTCCATGGTGACCCATAAATTGCTTCTTGACCTCAGCGACTCCGATGGCCCTCAGACTCTTCTGAAGCTGCGCCTCCTAAATGCGTGGGGGTCTTATGGCCTCAAGAATCCTACATTAATCTTCAACTACTGCACTCTTTGGAATGATGAGGAGGTCAGCGCTGCTTTCCTTTTTATTTTGCCACGTAATCTTGCGCCTCCCTTCTTTTTACAGCCCTCTGAGGTTCGCTTCTTTTCTGGCCAGGGTACTTTGATTCATGGCACGGCTCCTTCGGAACTCACGCGCCATTTCTCTCCGCTTCTGCAGTTGGGTAGCGTTTACTTCGTGAGCAATTTTCGCGTCAAGCCACCGGCCCCTTCGTATCGTTCTTGCTCTCATAAGTTGACCATCATCCTCTCTGCCGCTACACAGTTCGAAGACGTGACCCGTTCGTCACCTTCATTCTGGCCGGATGCGTTCGAATTTACCCCTTTCAGCTCGCTTCATTCCCGCATACGTTCATCGGTTTATCTAACAGGTCTTGTACTGTGTTCTTTACGTCTCTTGCTGTCCGTTCTGCAGTGTACTGCTTACCATCCTTTCCTTTCTTCTCTTGCTTGTGCCTCTGTCAGATGTCGTTGGCGCTGTTGTTAGCATAACAGGCGTTTCTAGCACTGTAACTTCATTTGGTACCACTGTGCGGAGTGATCTGGTGCTTCAGAATGAAAAGTATGTTACAGATGCACACCACTGCTTTATCGACTGTAATACATTTGTTACTTACTTTCGTTGCTTTTTTGCCCAGTCACATGTTTCTTGATATCAGTCTGTGGAGTGATATAGCTCGGAATCTCAATGGTCAGGAACTGGCTGTCCTTGGTCGTTCTGGGCCAGTTATGCTTGCTGTTTGCTCACTTCGAGTCACTGGCGCTACGAAAGGTCTGCATGTACCTTACCGCCGCACTATTCTCCCTTTCATTTCCCTTCCTCTTTTCCTTATTACCTTTACCCCTCTTGTAGGAGGTTACTCTCTTACCAGTACTCCAGGCACACGTTGTGTTCTCAACCCTGTTTCTGAAATGGCTCACCTGGTCCAATCTGTGTATGTCTTTTCTTATCCTCCTCATATTTGTTTTTCCCTTTGCATCATCAGCTGTATTTTTGGTTACTGCTAATTTGTTGCGTTCCTTGCTTTCGCTTTCGTTAGGTTCTTTGCCAGCACTAATACATGTCAATATTACCCTCCGAGGTTTGCAACTCCTAATGAGGCAGCGGCCTTCGAAGCTGAATGTACGAAGACTGTGTCACAACTACTTGCCTTGTGTTTTCCACCTGTTGCCGATGTATGCTTTTTCCCATTTTGCTCTCCAGCTTACCTGCTTCTGTTCCTTTCACTTCATTTGTTTGTCCGTCTAATCATTTCTTTCGTTTACTTTTTTTAGTCTACGCGTTACCATTGCTCTGGTCGGATTGTTTCGGTTGATTCTTCTATGCAGTGGTACTACTTGGGTTGTGCGCTTTGTTCCAAAGCAGCCATAGATTATGATGGTGTTGACAAATGGTGTGATGACCACCGTCGTTTGGTGCCTCAACAAACACAGAACTTGTAATTCCTTTCTTCATTCTTGCCCCCATACCTTTTACCTTTTCTCGTGTCCTCAGATGCTCCTGTACACGTTTTTTGCAGTTACAAACTTCGGGTAACAGTTGATGACAACACTGGATCAGCAGCTTTTGTTCTGCTGGGTAGGGCCGCTGACCTTCTTGTGGGCTTGACTGCTAACGATCTCTCTACTAGGTTTCCTTACCAACGCAATGTTCTTCCACAAGAACTTCTGGCTCTTGAAGGGCGAGACTTTACTTTTGACGTCCAGCTTCCAAAACCGGAATATGGGGCTCGTGGCCCGCCAGAATTCACGGTCCTTGCTGTCAATGAGCAAGAACAGCCAAATTCCTGCTCACCAACTCTTGGTCGCCGGGCAAGAAATGCTATGCCCCATACACCACCTCCTAACAGGTAGTTTTAATGTTCTTCAGTTTGTGGTGCAGTTTCCTTTTGTTCATTACTAATTGCTGCTTTCCGTTGCAGTCCTCACTTGATGCCTCTTACTTCTCCATATGTTGTTCCAACAATGCAGAACGCTTCGGTAGAGCATGGTTCTTCTGTTGCTTCACCAAGGTTATGCTTCAATTTTACATGTCCTCTTTTCTCTGGTTGTTGCTTGTCTTTAACTCGGGTTCCTTCTTAAATTTGCAGTGGGAGTTCTCAGCTTGCATTTTCTACTCCTCCACGTCGCCCCTATAGCAGGTTGTTTTTACAATCCACTTTGCTTTACAAAATTAACAAGCGCTTCTTTGGACGCTGTCGTACTCTTTCCCTATGTGTTGACATTTCTTTTCCATGCGTTGTTTACCATCAATTTCCAGTAGGCGCATCGCTGCTGTATCCTCGCCCTCATCTGCTGCATTGGGAAGGTTGTCTGTTTGTTGTCTGCTTTGCTAGCTTAGTGCTGCTTATACACGTTCTGATGTCGTTTCCTGACATGTTTTTTTTCAACAACAGTTCTGTAGCTTCTTCTCCTGAACTTGGTCGTACTGAGATTGTTTCCTATGCGCGGTCAGTTTCTTGCCTTTTCCTGTGTTACCTCAATCGTTCGCCTTTACGCCTGCTAATATTTGTCAATGACTCTTGCACACCCGTTTTAACTGCTTCTTAGCCCTATAAGTGAGGAAGTGCCCCCAGAAACTGCAACACAGCGATCCCCACAGTACCTTTCCTCCTGTTAACTTACTTACTAGCTTTACGTGTCTCTTTCTTTCCTTGCTGAGCATCTCTGTATCAGGGAACTTGCTTCGGACACTACAGAAGCTACTGTGCAGAACAAGAACATTAGTTCGCAGAAAGCGAAGCCGAAGAAACCATCTGCTAAGAAGAAGTCTCTCTGCCCTTTATTACTTGCTATGTTTCTTGTACCAAATTTACATATCCTACATTAGGTCTTAATTTCCTGTTGAACTTGCTTCTGTTTGCATACTGGCAATTTACTTGGTTTTTGTGCACCCTTCGTTTTACATGTGGCCTGCTTCCTACCCATTCCCCATTGTTATTTCGTTTTACCACTTATTTGGTTGTTAACTGTGCATACGCCACTATTGCCTCCTGGGATTCTTTTACTTATCATAGTATCCTGCATTGTACTTCGATTTACTGTCCTTACCTTATACAACTTTGTTGGACTTTTGCAGGAAAACTGGAGGTGCAGGTGCTGCGCGTCGTCCTGCAGTTACTCTTGAAGAAACCGATGTTCCGATATCGCCCCTTCAGATCCCTGTTGGACATCCTTTGCCAACCGAATCGGCGAATCCTGACTCTGGAAATCTTAATGCCCTCGGTGTCAATTTGCAGACAACAACAATTCAGCCTTTGTCACAGTATGTGTCGTTCTAATTCTTTGCTTGCCAGTGTTGTCTGCTCCCTAGGATTCCAGTTTGCATGCTTTTGGTGCTCTTCTAAACCTGATAAAAAAAGGTTTCCAGTCTGCACAGAATACTTATTGTTGACGCAAAAAAATTGCAAACAAATGCTTTACAATTCAAGTTGGTCTTCTGCTTTTATACATGGTTTTAAGTCGTTCCCATAAAATACAATAGCCGATGGATGGCCTTTTGTATCCCTTTCTTCGCCCTTCGCTAACTTACACGTGTTCTCAATGTGCAGACATACACTGTTACATTTCAGTGGCCATACTAATTATCTACGAATGTTCTACCTTTTTTGTTTATACAGAACAAAATAAACAAATAGTTGTGGCTTCTGCTTACTTGGTCAGCTTCAAATCAATTATTTTCCCACAGTTGAAGTAATAATCGTCTTTACTTTAGGGAGATTCCTTGTGCAGTTTGTTCTTTGTTGTTAGTCATTATCTTATTCGTGCTTTGCAAGTTGCTCCCGCATTGCATAGGAATGTGCATGTTCTTTCATATAGATGTGTGTTTTACAGACCTACTTCCTTTGTCTCCTTTTCTTGGCAACCTGTGTCTATAAATCCTGCACCTGTACGTCGCCGTCGCTTGGTTGTTTCTTCTGATGAAGACGAACCTGTTGTCCCTTTGGAACTGCAAGACTTGGACGTTGAACTTCCACTGCAAGAACAGGCTATTGAAACCTCTTCGACTTGTCCTGTTCCTACCGTTGACTCTACTTTGCCTTCTCCTCTTCTTGCTGGCCAAGAAGTTCCGCTGCTTCCAGTGGGGGAAAACTAATCCTGGGAGGGCAAAGCGAATTAGGACACCGTCTGCAAAGGCCATTGAAGCATCTGTGGATGCCTCCAAGAGGAAGCCAAAAACTCCCAAAATCGTCTGCTAAGGAACCTGCTAAGAAGCAACCGTTTGCTGATTGACCGTGATTCGCATCATGCGAGTGCTAATGTAACATGCTTGTGCAGTGCTGTCCCTCCCTTTCTTTTGTATAACTTTTAAAGGGAAACACTCTTTAGTGAGTAGTGCACTATGTACTTTTGCCTTTTGTGTCTACATTTGCAGCCCTTGCCAAACTTTGTGGTTTTCCATTACTGGCACCACTTCTACCAATCTGGTCTGCTATGACATTTGACTTGTATTAGTTACCTCTTGGTCCAGGTTACCCTTGCGTACCTGCTTTCTAACCAGCTCTATGTCGTTAATATAAAGCGACATTTTGGCATGCCCTTCTTTAAGTGGCATAGTATTGCGCCACTCTGCAACTGAACTTTATTTTGTGCTAAGGAACTGTTGTACTTTGTATCATCATTTGTTGGGTGGAATTTTGCCGTTTAGCCCACATTCGCATCGCACCTGTATCTACTTCGTTAGTCACTTGTTTTGCTCTTTATTCGCAGGTGGCCACTGTCTGTTGTAAATGGCCACTTTGAGGACCAAATTGTGCACACCCTTTTCGATTGCAGGGTATTTAGGTGGTGTCTACCAGCCACACAGTAACTAGATATTTAGATTGTCCACTAATACCATGACTTTGTTTACTAGCTTCCATAGACCCAAATTATAAACTTATTTTTCTTCTATTAATTGCCATCATGCATTTATTGTTCTGACTACCCTGTTCACTAATGATGGCTTTATTACTTCTCACTTCTCTAGACTAGCCTGCTATGGTGCATGTTGTATTATTATACTTTTTCTTAAGAAGGATATTTCCCCCTGGAAACACCGTTTACCTGTAGACTGTCTTCTTCCATAACTGCTTTCCCATTACTGCTTCTTTTGCTTATTCTGTCTTTGCTGTTGGTCATTGAATGCAATTCTCTGCTACATCTGCTATACTATTACCTGGTATCTGCCTTCCTCTGCAAATCTGCCAGTGTCTTATTCCACTGTACCCGTTTAGAAGCCGTGGCATGGTTAGTTTGGTCAATTTCTTACTTTTATCTTACTACATTTACCATTGTGTTCCTATACCATGCTACGCTTGTGCCATAGTTTCCAGGTCCTGTTTTTTTCCTAACGTCAGTGTGTGATCTCAGGCCACTCCCAGACAGGCTGCACTCCTGCTACCCGGTCGTTCAGCAAATAGGAAGCGTCGTCATATTGGTGTTTCCACTGAATTTGTACCTACCACGCCTCCTTCGAGAAGTTCTGTGAGGCGTCGTGTGTGCAACTTTGATAGACGGGGACGCTTGCACCCACTGCTTGACTCAGAAGGTGAACTTGAACTCATCCGAACTTGACTTAAGAACTCCTGAAGACTTAACAGCCAGCTCGCAAACTCATCCTCCTGTTGCGTTGGATGGTCATTGTTCGTTGCCTAATGTGCCTCTACCACCTTCACAACAAGCAGAATTCAGTCGAGTTATCGATCATGGTTTTCCTGACTGTGAATGCCAATACTGTGGTGCACGATTCTGGTATGAAGAGCGGCTTAACAGGCATGCATCTCTTACTCCTGTTTCACGCTTTGTTGTCAAAAGGGTCGAATACGCCTCCCATTCCTACAGGAAACTCCTCAGTACCTTGAAGACCTCTTGGGTGTTAATGGCGGTCCTATGGCAGCGCACTTCAGGGAACATATACGCTCCTATAATGCTGCGTTTTCTTTCACATCTTTTGGAGCACGCCTTGATCCGAGAGTTACACGATCACGAGGACCTTATTCGTTTGTGATATGCGGAGAAAATTATCATCGAATGGGATCTTGCTTCCTGCTGCAGGTCAGAGACCTAAATATTCTCAGCTATACGTCTTTGACCCGCAGACCGAATTAGCAGATCGACTCTCCAATTTCTCTTCTGCTGAAAGGTCCCTGCGTCCTGATATTGTTTCTGGTTTAATGAAGCTGTTTGACGTGACAAATGAATTAGTTAAGTCTTTTAGACGAATTCAATCTGAATTGAATGATCCAGCATCAATCAATTTAAGACTGCGTATTGTTGGTGCAAGGGACACAACATCTCGACATATGAACTTCCAACTGGTTCAGAATTGGCTGGACTCATTCCTGGTGATTTCTTGCCTGATAAGGAAGAACGAGACATCATTATCGATCATCGGTCAGAGGGCCTGAAGAGGATCACAAGTGTACACCCGAAGTTTGATGCTTTGCATTTTCCAGTTCTTTTCCCATACGGAGAAGATGGATTCCATGTAACCATACCGTATGATCCTGTTCATACTCCCAAAACATTGAAAAGGAAACATGTGACTCAGAGAGAGTACTATGCTTACCGGCTTCAGCACAGAGACGACGAAGGTCAGACATTGATGCGAGGTGGGAAGGCACTTCAACATTACGTGGTTGATGCATATTCCACAATTGAACAAAACCGACTCTATTATTTGCGATCGCATCAAGAAAACCTCCGTTCTGAACTATACTATGGCCTTACAGATGCTTTCAACAGAGGTGATGTTACAGGAGATGCTGTTGGCCATGTTGTTCTGCCATCATCGCATACTGGAAGTCCTAGGTATATGAAGCAACTATACTTAGATGCAATGGCTGTTGTCCACCATCATGGCAGCCCCGACCTATTCATAACCTTTACGTGCAACTCCCAGTGGCCAGAAATAACAGAATCTTTCCGCGCTGTCTGTGGTGCACGCAGCGAACTAAAACCAGAGATTGTTGCTAGGGTCTTTCGCATGAAACTGAATGCACTGGAAGATG